GGCCCCAGCCGCTTCGGTGATGTGGCAGCTCATGCAAGCCGTGGCGCACTGCCACCGCCTCGGCGTGGCGCACCGGGATATAAAGCCGGATAACATTCTCTTCGACGAGGACAGTCGGCTTAAGTTAGCCGACCTCGGCTCGGCTGAGCTTTTCAGCGAGGGCCAGCCGATGAGCGGCGTGGTGGGGACGCCGCATTACGTGGCGCCGGAGGTCCTCGCCGGGAGGGACTACAACGAGAAGGTGGACGTGTGGAGCGCCGGCGTCGTTTTCTATCAGTTGTTGGTAGGTTTTGCGCCGTTTCGCGGCGATTCCCCGGTGGAGATTTTCGAGGCCGTTGTTAGAGGCAATTTGAGGTTTCCGACGCGAGTTTTTTCCGCAGTCTCAGCCGCAGCTAAGGATCTGCTTCGTAGAATGCTGTGTCGAGACGTTTCTAGAAGGTTCTCTGCGGAACAAGTCCTGAGTGAGTTTAGTATATATTCGTCTTTCATGCAATATTCAAATCATTTCATGTTAATTTTGATTCATTATTTATAATTTGAATAGGGCACCCGTGGTTTAGCATTTGTGAACAGAACATGCGAACAGAGTGAGTGTATACTGCACACCGCACCCCTAGAGATGATTTTTATGTTCTCTGATAAAAGATTGAAGAAACCTCTTTTTTATCCCTTGCCTTCGGGATTCACCAGAGTATAGAGTACAGAGAAACCCAACTTGGGCTTCTGCTTTTCTTAGTTTTTTCTTCTTCTTTGATGTATGTTTTGAAATAATTTGGCGTTTGGTAACTCTAGTGAGAAGAGAATGTTTTGTGTATAATTTGAGTATTTTCTTTTTCAAGAATAAATAATAGTATAATTCTATATTGGAAGTTGTTGGTTTGCTGCAATAGCAGTGACGCATCTTTACTAGTTTCTAAATATTTGTGAGGGGATTAAGGATTCCCCTAAGGCCTAAGGTGAGATGAGAATAGCAATCTTAATTCAATTGAGATTCTACTTTCTTGGCTTTATAGAATTGATCGCTACATTCCGAAATAATTCTACCGGATTCTTCTAACGACCTTTTTAAGGTGTGGGTAGGAATCACTGATCTGGATTCAGTTCAGATTCCACCTCCTTCCCTCTTGTATTCAATGCTAAACATATTATTTAGACGTAAAATCAGTAGCACTGTTTGAATTGAGCTAGGAAAGCTAGTAAATATTCATACACACCAAAAAACAAAATCAGTAGAAAGATATCTGTCATCAAAATTACATTTTTATCCTCTAATAATGAGTTTACGTTAACATAATTGAATGTCATTCTCGTCTACTAGTTGTTTTCTTTTAATCATACTTTTAATCTTTTATTTTGTTTTTTTAAATTATTTTAATCTTTTATTTATTAAAATGTTTGTTTTGATATTTTATCTTTTACATTTGAATTATTTTAATCATTTTAAAATAGTAATAATTTTTTAATTTTACAATATAAGTTTGAATAAATTTTTGATTGATTTAAAATATGAAATTTGTATGATTGTATTTATCTATATGAAAACTATCAAATTTTACTTGTGTTCAAATACAAAAGAACTATAAACATAGTAAAAATCATGTAAAAAATATATCTTGTGTATAAGAACTAAAATATAATATGAAATTATACTTTTTTATTTATTTTAGAAAACTTATTTTTACGATTTAAAAATTTGTATTAAACTTCAGTTGTATATAATGATTTTATATAAGTGAATCTAATGAAACAATTTTTAAGTCTTGAAATAGTATATTTAAAAGATAAAAAAAATATAAAACATATAATAAATAAGATAAATAAGATAAATGACTAAATGTAAAATTTGACAATTTTCTCTACAAAATTTCATTTTTTTAATAAAATTTAAAAATTTAAAAATGTTATACAATGATGACATATGTTTGTGACATATAATAAGTATTTTGGCTCTCTCAAAATATTATGGTAGGATCGACCACTACATAATGTACAACTAATTAAATAAGACTTCTTGATTACTATTCTATTATTTGACTCAAGCACTTTAGTAACAAATTTAAAATTTGGTTAAAAGGGTTATAGTCCTTAAATATTTTTTTTCTTTGTTAGTTCATTTTTACACTTGTTTTATTTTGTGTTTCTTATTCTTGATGAAAGGCCTTAATTATAAGTATGTTCAACATAAAAGAGTGTTTTAATAGCTTATAAATTAGTTGAAAGCCTACAAATTATAAGTTAGAATTGTATTTAGGAAGATATTTGAAGAATTTATAAGTTTATTTGAACGACTTAAAAGTTCCTTTGTCAAAATAAACTTGTTTGACTTGTAAGCTTATTTTAAAAACTTATTATAACCTATTTTCACAAGCTAATTGAAGTAATTTACAACTTATATAAACTCTTTTTTTTATTTTTTTTATCATCATTAATTTACTTAAAATTATTTTTTACCTTTCTTAATTTAAAAATCATATTTTTGTATATATTTTACTCTATCACTCTTCTTATTAAATAAATAAATATGTCATTTTATATTAATCAACTATCTTATACACTTTCAATTCACTTATAAACTTTTTTAGTTAACTATAATATGATGCATCTTTCAATAGCCTATATAAATGATAAATCATTGAAATGTGATTTATGCTAATAAAGATTCTTTATACACAAAATTAAAAAAAAACAAAATTTAATTAATATATTATAAAATTAAGTATTTATTAATTGTGTTAAATTTTGTTTGTAGCGACTAATATATTTGTTTTTAAAAGTATTAAAAATGTATAAAATGTTAGTTTGACTTCCAAGAACATGGTACTATGATTTAAGAAGAGTATTAAAATACTCGTGATCACAGTTGTATTCTGAAAAGGAAAAAAAACTCATACTCATTTATATTTATATAGAATATAATACAGAAATTTGTTGTGGAGATTTTAGTTCATACAATTCTTTATAGAAATAGAAATTATAAAGACGATTGGAATTTAAGAGTTTATGCAAACTTAATTCTTTTTGAAATTTGAATTTGCGGAATATTTTTAAAGAATTGGCATTTTAAATTAATTTGACTAACATATAACATAAAAGAAGGTAAATTTGTCTAAAAAGTAGGTCTAAGATGTATGGAAAAATATTGAGTGGCGAGCTACAGTAAAAAACATTGACTCTAATGGTGATTTGTATGTACAGCGTGAAAGAAGAATGCGTGGCCACAAAGGCAAATGGTTAATTAATATCTATGAATCTATCTATCTACAAGACAAGAAGCGAAGCTAGAACACACAATCTAAACCCCTTGTCGTGTTGCATCCTCCGTACCTTTCCGTAATTACAAATTTATGATATTTTTTCTTCTTTTTTTGATTTGCATCTCACATTCTTTATTTATTCAAACTGTCGTACGTACTCCTGGACTGTGATCAATCTGTACTTATCACTCGCACCCCATGTGCAATGCAGTCTCCTCCTACCTTCAAATATCTAGTTTCCCATCCCAACCCACTTACACTTTCAGTCAAATTTATCATACTTTAAAATTAAGAAGAAGAATAAAAAGCAAACCAAGGCAAATAGTGTTGATATTATTGACGCACCAAATAATTTTGTTTAACAAGACATGTTTTGCAATAGCTAGATAGACTGACACAAAAGACTCTATATATTGTTTTTCGCCCTAGTGGATAAGGAACTTATTTATTTAATTAAGGGTTTGGAACTGTATTTGATTGTGAAAACAATTATTTTAAAATTTAATTCATTAATCACGCCATAATACATGCATTCTATGGAATGAAAAATGTTAACCTCGGAAAAGATAGAATGGAGATGCGAAGATGAGTCCAGAAATTAGGTTTGGACAGATGTAATGGAAGTGACTTGCTGACTAATGACGGCTATGTGCCAACATTATGTTAGTTGGCTATTCAAGCATGGAAAGGTCGGTTTTGGGTAATAAAGTGCTTTGCATTGTCATGCAATTAACCTTTTACATAGAAAAGTCTAATTTAATATTCTTGTATGTGCTACATTATATCATACTCTCTCCATTTTTTATTCATAGTCATTTAATATTTTGCACAAAATTTAAGAAAATAATTGATATTTTAATTTTAAAAAATATTTATTACTTACTTTTTTATTTTATCCTTTATTTTTTTATAGTATTTCGTTAAAAACATATTACTCTTTTAAATACAACATTAACTTTACCTAGATGGTTGGAGAAAAAATAGGTAAATGTTATAAACAAATAAACACATTGTTTAATAAACATAAATTAATTATCAAAGATAAAAAAAAAAAAAAATAATAAGTCATTGATTTTAATAAAATGATAATGAAAAAAAAAGACAAATTCTGACAAAATGACTATAAATAAAAAATGGAGAGAGTAGTATAAATTAATAATTTTTTTAAAAAATTTAAAAAATTACAAAGATGACCGAAGATTGAACTAAATTTTCCATGCTTCTGATTATCCAAATCCTCCGTCTAGTTACTAGGTTAATCCTAATGATTAAATTAATAAATTTATTTATAACATGTTAACAATATAATTATTTTTATATTTTTATTTAATTATGTTTTGTTATATAGTAAAAATTAACTTTTTAATAATTAACTTAAAATATAAAGTTGTTGAATAATTAATAAATATACCAATTAACCATATATTTAAAATTAAAATTGTTATAATATAGAAGATAATTTCAGAAAATTTTAATTTTTTTTCGAAGATAATTAGTCATCATTATAATCTAAGACCATGTTATAAACATAAATGATAAATATCTAATATCTTATTATGATCTACAAAAATTACAATTATATCATTATTATCATTAATAAATTTATAAATTTTGACATTTATGACTATTATTATGTCTATTTAATAAATTATAACTTTTATCTATTCATGAGAAAAGATGAATTATCTAATAATTATGATTTGCAGTGTACAATTTAAAATCTTAATCATATCAAGATTAAAATAGTATAGAGTTCTTCAAATTCAAAAATAAAAATATGAAAAGTCTAAACTTTTATCAACTCGTCTAATCCATGTGGAAAGTAAGATCAATCGATGAGAGATTGATAGAATATAAAAGTGAAAAATTTACATAACATATATTATGAAATGTTTATTAAAATAGAAAAATAATTTATAACAAATACTAGTAATATAAAATTAGTAAGTGCATATGAGATTGATTGGAGAATGGAGGGTGAGTGAGTGTGCACTCCTGACAACGGTTGGTGGTCCACGTAGGGTCCCAAGATGAACATAACGTGTTGATTTATCTGGTAAACAGCAATTTATACGTGTCTGTCATGCACAAGACACAATCGGGAAATCTCAGGGCCACTGGGCCCAAACCTCACTATCAATTCAATATATGTACTCAACTCAACATTCACATAGAACAAAAATCAATTTATGTTTAAAGTTTTCTTATTTAAAATAAGAAAAACAAAAGTTTCTTATCTTTCTCACTGTTGAAAAAAATCCTCTTTCAAATCTCCTTCTCCACAACAATAAAAAGTCATATTTGTTTAATATAAATTGACGTCTCATGCCTGAATTTATGATAATATTTTAATGTATATTTATTATTTATGATTCGGTATGGAAAACACGAAATATGCTCATTTTTTAAAATCAAGTGGAAACCTCTAAATTGCCCATGAAGTGTTTGGACGTGTGATTGAAATTTAAAAGGAGTCTATCTTGAAGGTTGATCATGCAAAGTCAAGGCTAGAAACCAATCAGCATATTGGATAGATTCATCCTCCAAATAATGGCTAAACGATCATTGTGGTGCTATATATCAAAATGAGGTTGTTTTGAAACATATTATACATTTATGGCTGTTTTTTTGGGTGTCGCTATAAGC